TGCAATTATGATATACGACATAAATGTCATGTCACGATATATGCCCTAAATATGTGCATGTTACAATATATGACATAAATGTCATGTCACAATATATGCCATAAATGTATGCATGTTATGATATACGACATAAATGTCATGTCCTGATATATGCCATAAATGTGTACATGTTATGATATACGACATAAATGTCATGTCACGATATATGCCATAAATGTATGCATGTTATGATATACGACATAAATGTCATGTCCTGATATATGCCATAAATGTGTACATGTTATGATATACGACATAAATGTCATGTCACGATATATGCCATAAATGTATGCATGTTATGATATACGACATAAATGTCATGTCCTGATATATGCCATAAATGTGTACATGTTATGATATACGACACAAATGTCATGTCACAATATATGCCATAAATGTATGCAATTATGATATACGACATAAATGTCTTGTCCTGATATATGCCATAAATGTGTACATGTTATGATATACAACATAAATGTCATGTCACGATATATGCCCTAAATGTGTGCAATTATGATATACGACATAAATGTCATGTCACGATATATGCCCTAAATGTGTGCATGTTACAATATATGCCATAAATGTGTGCAATTATGATATACGACATAAATGTCATGTCACGATATATGCCCTAAATGTGTGCATGTTATGATATATGACATAAATGTCATGTCACAATATATGCCATAAATGTATGCATGTTATGATATACGACATAAATGTCTTGTCCTGATATATGCCATAAATGTGTACATGTTATGATATATGACATAAATGTCATGTCACGATATATGCCCTAAATGTGTGCATGTTACAATATATGACAAAAATGTCATGTCACAATATATACCATAAATGTGTGCATGTTACAATATATGACAAAAAATGTCATGTCACAATATATGCCATAAATGTGTGCAATTATGATATATGACATAAATGTCATGTCACGATATATGCCATAGAAGTGTGCATGTTATGATATATGACATAAATGTCATGTCACATTATATATGCCATAAATGTGAGCGTATTATACATGACATAAATATGTGCGTATTATGATATATATAAAATGTCATGTCAGGATATATGACATAAATGAATGCATGTCAAAATTGTGATGATGTTGAACAAAAAACAACTATTACTATTGAAGTTAATTTAGACAATCCTTTTATTATAGATAAAATATAATTTGTTTCGCTCTGAGATAAAATATTCATGCACTTCATTAATAAATATTCTAATAACAATAAAATTATTAATTCTGTGAAACGCTAAGTGCAGATAAAACCTACTTTTAATCAAGTACAGAACAACATGTGAAAACTATTTTGCAATGACATTTATCACTCAAATCTATGTGCCTCTCGTAAATAAAAAGGTTTGTTAAAAAATGTGTGAATAGCGATAAAATACAATAAACACATTTAACAATACAGTGCTATTATGCCATCATAATATACACAACAAAGTAATAATTTAAAAAATTATTTTTTTTAAAACGATGCACACAATTCAAATTCCCAATAAATATTCATTATTTATACAAGTAAAATGTTAGTTGTTATCATATCCTACGTTACATACTGTACACATATAAATTATTCACTGGGTTAAATTTTGCCTTTTTTCTTAATAAGTAAAAGGCACAAAATTAAATCAATATGAACATATGAAATTACAATAGAATGCATTGTTTTGATGAAAAATCTATGAATTTAAACCCAGTGAACAAATAAAAAATATCAAAATAGTGAAATTATAAATACCCGTGAAAATTAATGTAAACTACAGTCAGTACTGACACAAACTTAATATTATTGTTTTGGTTCATCAATGATGACCTTCATGATTGAGTCGTAACATATCCTAAACAAAGCAGTGAGCACCCATTGTATATTTATCTACTAGTAACCGCCATCATATTTCAGATAACATAAAAATGTTTTCTTGAAAAAGTTCCAAAAAACGTTAGTGAGTTTGCAATGAAAAATAAATATGAGCAAAATTAAGTGCTAGCCTCAATAAATCTTTATGTATTCAAAAACATACAACCATAAGTGTAAATTTACAAATAACAAGCAGCCTATCGGCTGAGATAGCTCCGCTGTTAGCAATGCACATTTCAATTAAAGAACTGAAGACATCATTAGAATATGAATAGTATCAAAGCAATCGGACTTACGGTTTTTAACAAGAAGTCGAAAATATCACTTTTTACCAAAAATGACAAAAATATTCACCAAAATTAGAGAATTAAAGATATCATTAAAAAATGAACAAATCTGTGAGAGGTCCACATGTAGTACCTATATATGTAGTATCAAAGCGATTTGACTTGCGGTTTTTAACAAGAAGTCGAAAATATCACTTTTTACCAAAAATGACAAAAATATTCACCAAAATTAGAGAATTAAAGATATCATTACAAAATCAACAAATCTGAGAGAGGTCCACATGTAGTACCTATATATGTAATATCAAAGCAATTGCGGTTTTTAACAAGAAGTCGAAAATATCACTTTTTACCAAAAATGACAAAAATATTCACCAAAATAAATTAATTAGAGAATTGAAGATATCATCACAAAATGAACAAATCTGAGAGGTCCACATGTAGTACCTATATATGTAATATCAAAGCAATCGGACTTACAGTTTTCAACAAGAAGTCGAATATATCACTTTTTACCAAAAATGACAAAAATATTCACCAAAATTAGAGAATTAAAGATATCATTACAAAATGCACAAATCTGAGAGAGGTCCACTTGTAGTACCTATATATGGAATATCAAAGCAATCGGACTTGCGGTTTTTAACAAGAAGTCGAAAATATCACTTTTTACCAAAAATGACAAAAATATTCACCAAATTAGAGAATTAAAGATATCATTAAAAAATG